ACTTCAGGAGAGATGAAACTGAATGCAGCCCATGATAAGGTCATACAGAGGTCTATTAAAGCATCAAACATCTGATTTTTCAACTTGTAGTCATCAGATCTTGCTGTATGTCAGTCCGCTAATATTTTGATATTAACATTCCCTTTCATTGAAAAGTTAGCTGTGGGTAATAACATCAACATCCTTCATTAGTTAATAATGACACGAATGCATGAGATCTATTTATTCTACTGCAGCAGTATGGTGGTCTAGGCTTGAATGGGTTGATGGTTGGACTAGGTTATCTTAATGGTCTTTTCCAATCATAATGATTCTATGATTCTACAAATGTTGGTAGATGAGCATTCTTGAATGCTTTGAACAGAGATCCTGCTGGAAAATGTAATTTTCATTATGAATAGCTGAGCTTGCTTCCAGTGGGAGCATTTTTAAAGCTGAGATTCACATATAAGAAAGTCCATGCCATATGGAATAGATTTCGTGAACTAAACTGATAATAATAAAACCCACAGAAAACCAAGCATGTTGTCCAGAGAAGAATATCATTCTGTGTTAGTGAGGCTCAGAGTTAGTTTAACATTAGCAGCACACTTTGGTTTGTGGAAAAACGAACTGTTACAAACACTGATGCCACAAAATTTCCTGCAAATGCATTAAAGGTGGTCATGCAGTATTCCCATTCTCCTAATAAACTCTCTCTTTCATAAGGACAAGACTTCAAATCATACCAGGAGAGATTCAGGTTGAATATTAGAAAAAAATTATTCTCAGAAAGAGTGGTAATGCATTGGAAACAGACTTTCCAGGGAGATGTTGGAATCACTGTCCTTGAAGGTGTTCAAGAAACATGGAGCTGTGGCACTGAGGGACATGGTTAGTGGGCGTGCTGGTAATAGGTCAATACTTGGACTAGATGATCTTAATGGTCTTTCTCAACCTTTCTATGATTCTATGACTATGATTCTAAGGAGAGCTTGTTTAGGGTTGGATCACTTGGGATGCTCTGATGGTGTAAGGCTGTTTCTCTTTCAGCTGTACCTGACACTGGGACTGTTGTCCCCTCATCCTCACCTAAAGGAGCAAAGCCTTCTGCATCCCTTTTTGCCTCCTCACTGTAGAAAAGAGATTTTCCACCCCAGTATAAGCGAACAGAGAGGTCTGAGCAAAGGCTCCTAGGGTGCTGGATGAGGGGAAAGCAGAATTCTTCCCCACACCTGCCTCCATGTCTGTAGGAAGAGAAACAAACCCAGAGACACTTGTCAAGACTGTCTCTAATTGGGCTTGGGTCATTCTCAGCTCAGTAATACCTTTCAGAAATTGATGTTGTAAAGCTGAAAAGCCGAACAGCTCAAATGTGTAGGAGGCCCTGATAATGTTCTCAGGTCTGCCAGTAACTATTTTGGGATGGTGGGTAAAGGGCAGCCTTCTTAATCTTTGAACTGTACACTGCCATGCCACTTATCCAAAGTTTAAACATGTCGTTGTACTCGGAGAGGAAGAATATATGTGTTGGTACAAACCTTCAGATCTCTGCTGAAAATCTGCCAAAAATCATGTTTTACAACTGAAGTTGGAGAAACTCTTGACAGTAAACACATGTGATGGTTGAATTTTCTATCTCCCTTCCTAAAGAGACAAAAGTTTTGTTGTTCCTCTTACTCCCATTCTTCTGCTGGTGCTTTCTTCCACTGTAATAATTAAGCTGAAATGTATCTAATACAATGGAACAGGCAGTTTTAGCCTATGTGCTGAAGTACTATCATTTACATCAAAAATAAAAATCAAACCAACCCCTAAATAGGGGTCAGCACCATAGGAGTTCCCAAAGGCAACTCCTCCTATGTAGACATTTAGTCCAAATCTCAGCAACAGCTTTTCTGACCTTTGTGCTGAAGGAGGAGAGATGAATTGCAAGAAAATAGAGAAAAGCTTCATGTCTTGGAAAGGACTTAGGATAATGGGATTTGCTGCCAGGATAGGCTGGAAAATTGCCAGGGCTGGAGCGAGATGTGGTAGCTTGACTTTGTGATTACTTATTCAAAAGTGAAATCAAAGATACAGCAATGCAGGTAGATAGCCTAGGGATAGCAAAGGTTCCTTCTGCACTATGTTACGATGTCAGAAAGGTGTAAGGGTGTTCTAGGATCCTCATGACCATGCTCATGCCCAAAAGGCAAGGAGTTTCCTTGCAGGAATGTGTTTGGAGTCATGCGTTATGGAAAGGCCTAGGACTAGTCCACAGTGCTTTTCAATGCAAAACAAAAGCCAGACTTATGCTAACATTAGTTTTATCACTTCCACCAGAAGAAATTCTCCATCATTCTATAACCTAGACACGCATAAACCATTTCTTTTGTTGCTGGTTTAATCCTTAATATCATCAGTTTGGTTTCCTAGGGCAAGCTGAAGATGGCATATGATTTCTATTAGGGTCCCTAGCAGCAAACAGAAGAAAAAGGAGTGAAGAAAGATATTTATTTTCCTATGTACTGCCTTGACTGTTACTAAACCAATACCCACTGCTGACTTACAAACACTGATCTTTGCAAGCTCCCCCTCCAAGATAACATCCAAGGAATAAGGCTCAGTCAATATACAAAGGTCACCTTCCCATCTTTCCAGCAGTTCAAAGCTCTTTGTTGCTGACTCTGGGAACTTAAATTCTAGATAGATTCAGTTGCATCTCTGAAATACCCAGAACATCTCAATCTATAAAACCCTCCTGCAAACATAACACAGATTAGCTTTGACATGGTATTTAGGCATTTCAGGTTTTTACAAATGAGGCATACATAAATAGAAAAAAAAGCACAGATAAAAAAATCAGGGAGATACTTTGGGATTTTAGGGCAACATAGGCTTCTTTGATCTGAATCTCTCTGCTAGATTTACTATTTCTATTCTATACCACTGGACAGCCCATAATGACACCTTGCCAAGCACGGTAAAATCAGGATTTGCTGGGAACACATCTCCAGAGCTCAGCACAACTTTGCTGTGAGATCTCAATGCAACCCAAAGGCTCTGAAATTATCTACTTCCACAGACTAAATCTCTTTCTCAATCATTCTGCCCTCCAGTCCCGTGACAGAAACCTCACCAAAATAAGCCCCACCAGTGCCTTCTTGGCCATGCTGAAGGTCTACACCTCCTGTAACTGACTTTGCTTGCAAATGGCCAATAATGTTCTAACAACTCATCTTGCCCCTCTCTTTGAGAGAGGGCAGAACACAAATTTCATTTCTTACTGCCAGCCTGACTCTGATCCTTGTTTTCTTCCTTTTGCTGTAGCAAATATACTTCCCTGCAACCTTTTGACTCCTGCCTTGCAGACCTAATGTTCTGAGACTTCAGGGAGGTAACATCAGACTGTCCTTCCTTATCTTTGTTATCCACATCACTAACTTCTCAGGCTGCAGATATCTGTTCTAGTAGCAATCCCTCTGAAAAGCTGCAAAATCTTTCCCTCAGCCTGCATTCTTCAAAGACTCTTCCTTTCCTGAAGACTGCTCCTGTTGAGGAAAGCCCAGTATAATGTGATCAGCTGCCCCAGTGACAGCTGAAGTCCCATCACTAAGGCTTTTCTCAGTAGCTGTGCCCACCTTGGACTCTATCTCAGACCCTGCAGGTGGAAAAGAAGATTCCTTCTATTCCAACGAAGCTCTCAGACACATGATTTGATATTTTCAGGTGGCCCTATGTGGAGCCAGGAATTGGACTCAATGAACTTTTGGTCCCTTCCATATCAAGATTCCCTATGATTCTATGATTCCTATTTCTTCCTTCTCTTTGCACCTAGATTTTCCCAAGACTGTTATGGCTTCCAGTTCCTAGTTATGGATGAATGCAGCACTCTGAGATGACCTGAACAGGAGTCAAAGAATCACAGAATCATAGAGTCACCAAGGTTGGAAAAGACCTACAAGATCATCCAGTCAATCATTTGAGTTGAAAGGGATCCTTAAAGGTCATCCAGTCCAACTCCCCTGAAATGAACAGGGACAACAACAGCTAAATCAGGTTGCTCAGAACCTGGAATGACAAGAAGGATGGGGCATTCACCACCTCTCTGGGCAACCTGTTTTGGTGCCTCACCATCCTTATTATAAACAACTTCTTGTTTATATCCACCTAAATCTCCCCTCCTTAAGTTTGAAACCATTTCCCCTTGTTCTTTCACAGCAGACCATGCTAAAAGGTCTACTCTCCTTTAGGTACTGTAAGACCTAAGACCTCTGTCTTAGGTCTCCTCCTTCCTGGAGCCTTCCCTTCTCCAGGCTGAACAGAACCAGCTCTCTCATTCTGTCCTTGGAGGGAAGGCATTCCATCACTTAGATCATTTTTGTGGTCCTCCTCTGAATGCACTCCAACAGGTCCACATCCTCTTGTACCAAGGACTCCACATCCAGATACAGAACTCGAGGTGAGTTCTCATCAGTGAGGAGTAGAGGAGCAGGGGCGTTGCTCCCCTAGTGAACTTCTGAACCTGAGGGCTGTGTGTAAAGCAGATGCTAGTGAAGACTGAGACAAAAAGTTGTTGAGTACCTCATTCTTCTCCTTGTCTGTAGTTACCAGCCTGTCTGCATTTATCACTAGGGGGAGATACATTCACCTGAAATTTCCATTTCCAGCTTATGTACCTACTGAAACCTTTCTTATCCTTCTTTGAGTCGCTTCCCAAGTTCAGTTCCAGCTTGGCCTTCCTTACTCCATCCCTACAAAGCCTGGCAGCAAAGAACTGTCACAAACATGGGAAAGAGACATAGACAAGAAAACAGATTCCATGCATAATGAACAGACATGAGGAAAGATTTTTTCCATCTGGGATGATAATCACTCTGTAGATAAACTAGTGATACCTTTGTGACTCTCCATGTCCAATGTGGTGCATGTGTTTGTTGCAATGTACACAAAACTCAAGGTAAGGCATTCAGGAATGGCTCCTAAATGTTCCCATGCTCCTGCTGGCACTAGTGTGTCTCTAGAGGTATATGACTAACCTTGCTGTCCGTTGTTGGAGACTCCTTCTCCTTCTCTGCATGCTGAAGTTTTCTATTCAGATCTTGGAACATATCTTGGTGACGTTTTCTTGTGTGCATGATTTTCTGAGGAAAATGCAAGGGCCACAGATCAGCAAAGCCTATTCAGCCGTACAAAACCAACATTTCCTACTCTCAAAGCTACGTACATTATTAAAACGTAGATCTATCTCACTGCAGACTAAATCCAGCTTCCCTAAAGCAGCTCCAAAATTCTCTGAGGACCCACATGCAACACTGTAATTTCAGGATAAGACAGTGGGAGAAAGTGAGGAAGTTTAGTTTTTGAGCTTATGGTTGTCCTGAAATTGCAAATACCAGCTGTCTATGTTGCAAAATTTGTACACTGGTCTACCAGCTTGACTCAGGAAGCTCTGTTATCTTTCTTAACTGATTGCTGACCCTATGCCTGTTCTGTTGCGAGCATACTTCCTTGGCAAACATTTTCAGAGCTTATCCGAATGTGTAGGATTTAGGCTAAATAAGTTCTACCAGCAGTTACTTCACAGTTTCATTTTCTTTGTAATTTGGTCTGTCTGTATTTTACTTTTACTTTCTACTGACCAGGAGATGAAGGAAATATTTCTATAAAGGCTTCATTTTGTGTGTAAGAGCATGGTGAAGATTGCTTGCTCGTGCTGTGCCAAGCGGTCTATAATTGGAGAAAGTAGCTGATATAATTTAGGATCAGCACAGAAATGAATCAGCTCACATGCACCCACTGTAACTCAATTTCAGAACAAGCTCCCAGTCCTGAGCTCTAAAATGATTCTACATTAAAGGCAACTCCTCTTGGGCCCTCAGTGTGACTTCGTTTTGGAATAAGGCATCAGCTTTTAAGGGGAAAAAATGCTCTGCCATCAAGGATGCCACAATTTGACTATGTTCTGCACCAGCTCCCAGTAGCCCCATAGGCACTCTTTAAAAGCTTTCCACTCCATCCTTTCAGTGTGAATACAGGCATTTCCCTTACTATAGATAGGATGTAAGGAAAACATTTGATCTGGTTGCAGGTATTCCTGTTCATTGCAGAAGAGTTGAACTAGATGGCTTTTAAGGGTCCCTTCCAACTGAAAAGATTTTATGATTCTTTGATTCTCCCCAGGCTAATTCGGTGAGGCTTATTAATAGGTGCAAAAACCCAGATTTGATCATGGTTTGTGACAGTGTGGACATATTACTTGCCTTTCTGTTATGCAACAGAGCTTTGGCACAAAAGTCAAGGCATTTTAGGTCACCAAGCAAAGGATATACTTGTGTTTCCTAAATAGGAGTGCATTGCAGCCACCTGTAGCACTTTTCCACTAGCTTATTTGCAGAAGAGATGCTACAAGTCTTGTGCACTCTGACATGGGATCTTCATTTACAAGTGTTTATGCAAAGGCATGAGGCAATATAATTTACCCATTTGTTCAGCTGCACAGGGTAAGCCTTATTAAGCAGCCAGCACAACTCTTTCTGCCCACCATTTTCCAACTTCTTTGGCAAAGGCTGCATTTCAACAAAGATGGTGGCAAGAAAATGAAGCTGCATTCCTCTTTCTCTCCCTACCCTTCAAGAAACACATTCAAAAATTGATGTACTCACCTCAAAATCTAGTTCTGCATACCGTGATTTCCGTCTCTGGGGATTCAAAGGAAAAAGAGAGGGTGGTGAAGGTTAGTAAGGGACTGATGGGCACAGACTGAACTACACAATAGATGAAACAGAGAGGCTCCTTCTCTTTTTACGTGTTCCTTTACCTTTAAAGTGTCTCTCTGGTTCGTCTTGATGGAAAGTGCCAGCCAATAAGAAGGATCACTCACAAAAGCACTGAAACCCAAGGAAGGCTGAACATGGATTTTTGGCTAATTCAGACCCCTGTCCTAGTTACAATCTTGCAGGTGGTTTACGGAATGGGAAGGAAATAAAAAGGCTCAGCCAAGAGCTCCTGACCATCAGTCAGTGAAGACTGAAATTTGGGCAGCAATGGCCAAAACTTGCTCTCTGATAATAGGCAAGAAAATGGCCAGATGCTGAGAAATGCAAAAGCTAGGGCAGACATCAGTGTGAAATGTACAGACTGGGGAGAACTGGTAATATATATATTGAGTTATTGTAGGTAAGAAGGAGAGGGCTGCACTTCTACCAAATCTCTGACATCCTTTTGATGCAAAGAAAGTTGTGGGTCATATCTTAAGTATATGCCAGGCTGGATGGGGTCATGGACTACCTGATCTAGTGCCTGCTTTAGTGGTTGGCAACTCTGTCCATGGCAGGGGAGTTGGATCTAGATGATCTTTGAGGTTTCCACCAACCCAAGTCATTCTGTGATGATTCTATGATACATCTGCAATCAAGACAATTTTCCTATCTTTGTCACAACTGAAGTCATCAAAATGGCAAACAGAAGAGGATAGATGGAGAAAAGGTAATACATGTCATGTGCCTTGTCCTAAAATGAACGGCTTTGACACGCCAAAGTTTTGATTTTAATTTGCATTACGTTGCAAAAGACAGCCCATCACACAATAGGCTGTAGCTGTGGAAGTAATTGATGTGTGAGGGGTTTTTAAAACAAAATTAAGAAATGGTATCACCTGCCAGGTAATATAATTCTCACAGTAATATAATTCTGGCACTATGCAGTGGGCTACATTTGGCTCAACAATCCACTGTTGAAAAATCTGTTGCAGCCAGTACTGAGGGCAGGGAACATTACGGGCTTGGAACAGCAATGGAATTCCCATGCTCACCTCCAAGGAGCTCATGGAGAGAGTGGAGACGGTTTCACTCTTGGACACCACACCTGAGTTCCCTGAGTCACCTGTGTCACACAGGCTGTTGGGAATCTGTGACTCGCTGGGGATATTCTGTGGAGGCAGCTGCTGCTGTTGTTGTATCATGGGAGAACCTTGCACCTCACTGCAAGTCATGGTCACAGGTTCCCGTGGAGGACTTTTGACGACAAAACCTGGGTCGGTAGCCATACTGAGGTGGATCAGCCGTGTCTGGGGCATCTGGTCTATATTGATGCTGTATTTGCTCTCATCCTTGGGTGGTTTGGCCCGTAAGGTAGATGTATTGGTAGGCAGAATGACATAGCTGGTGTCCAGTGTTTGTTCTTGTGCCCGGGAGAGTTCTGAGTCCAACTTCTTGAAGATGTCCCCGTCACAGATGTAGATAGACTTGGGTGGTTGATTCTTGTCCTTCTTCAGAGTGAGACTGTGATTGCTGAACTCATTCAGGTTGATGGCCCCCAGGTAGTGTGGGGAGCCCTGAAGATGCAACTTGGACACATTGGCTGGAAGACTGTTAAAGTTTGATGACCCCTTCTGATGATTGAGCTTCAATTTCTCTTCATCCTGTAGTGATGGGCGCTTCAGTGTTCCTGTGATGGTGGAAGTCCTGCAGGCTGTGATGTCTTTATTCAGCACTAGAGAGACAGACAAGTATCCTCAGCACTGCATCTTAGCTTTGGTTAACACATCAATATACCCACTGCAGTCACACCATGCTGGCATGTTCCCTGGGACCTCTCAGAATGAGGCTATAGAGGCAAAACATTTTCATATATATTTTTTTTCCTTTTAGTCCAGGATCCTGAATGCAAATCTAAAGCCAGAGACAAAAAAAAACTCCTCATTTTGAGAGAATCCTCTGCGTTGAGAATTTCCCAACCCAATCATGGCCAAAACTCCAAACTACATTGAAACATATTATCATACTGATAACATTATCTCAGAAAGAAATTATATGTGTGTAGTACATGTGTATATATATATATAATACACAGCAAACATCACATACACGTAAAATACTAGCCTACAGAGAAGCAGTATTTATTTTAAGATTGACCTCATGTCAAAAAAAGATTATGATTCAGAAAACAGCTGAAATGCAGCATTATCAGGAATTTCAAATGCCTTGTTTTGTTTGTTTCTTTGTTTTAATTTGCTCAAATTCTTCAGGTTGATCTTTTCCCAGGAACAGTTTCAGGATTAGATTTGATGTGTACAACAGATCGCATTTTGTTAGAAATTTCTGATTCACTCTCCAGAAAGCTTTACATTCCAATCATTATGCCAAGCCTCTGTGAGACATAATTATTTGTTGTGTGCCTAGAGGACAAAAAGGAGTGCCATGAATACTCCTAAGTAGGAGATTAAAACCTTCATCTGAGGATGAGGTGAACATGCCTCATAGGAGGTACATACAAGACTCACAGACACTCATATCCACACAACGCTGTCTTCAGCAAAACATCTTATTCACTTCTAATAAGAATCTATTGCTCAGTTGATTTCAGGTGGCAACAAAGACCTTAAGAAGATTATGACACAAACCTTAATTTCTCCAGGGGATGGAAAACACTGACTGTGAGGTAGGGGCAAAATGATGTGGCACTGAAGGATACTTACCCAATGTTTCAGCTCAGAAAAGGAGAAATAAATGCACATCTCCCTTTCTCCCATCTCAGAATAAAATGTTGAGATCTTTTTACCACTTTATTTTTCCAATGGAGCCAACATTTTTGGGGTAACCAAAAGATCTCTATTCTATTTTATGACAGAGGCAGCACATGGCCAAAGAATTCCATGGGACTGAGGGCATACTCATTTTTCTATCAAATGAAATTGGGAGTGAGGGTGCTGGGTGAGCACAGAGACTACAGGGAACACAGGGTAATAAAAAAGCCAAGTGGAACACAGGGACTTTTTTTAACAAGCTTTGAAAGCTAAGCACATAGGGCATAATTATGGCAGCCACAGTAATCTTAATGTTGCTAGAGGGCACACTAGGATAAATCAGAGCATTATACTGTGTTCATACCATAAGCTGCAGTAGTATGATCCTGAACTCAGACCACTCACTGTCAGTAAGCTAAAGGTAAGTAAAGTTTATTGATCTTGCTCACAGCACCTGCCTGAAGCAGGCTTGAAGAAGCTTGGCAATCTCCAAACATGGAGCAGTAAGCTTCCAAAACTGAGCTATGGAGTAAATCCTAACAAAACTGTATGCCTTTAAGGGAGGGAGAAGAGGAAGGGAGATCCAGGTTGTTAGAGAGCTGTTCATCAAGGGTCTTCTGCCTTTTGTCTGGGATTTGGTAGCAAGAAATTCTTCAAGAAAGGCTCCTGTATTGTAGGAGTATGGAGTCTGCTTTGATTTTCAGCACAAAGTGTGCTGAGCATGCATTCAAATCATATCTGGTCTCATGAGCATGCCTTTTGCACATGGCATTTTGGAACCAAAGTCTTCAGTGTCAGAAAGGAAGGAGGAAGATAAATGAGATGAGAGAGTCAGCTAGAAATACAATTAGGGAGTATGAGACAGAGAAATAGAAAAAAAAAATGGAGCAACCCTGAAAAAAAAGATAAATGGACAGAAAGAGACCATGAAATAAGATATCACACTGATAAGTGAGATAAATATACTATGACTATGATAGGCACAGGGAGAGGGAGTGAGGCTGAGAGAAAGAGAGAAGAAGATAAATAAGATATAGATAGATATTAGATAGATAAATGATAGTGACAGAGATAGACAATACACAGAAACACAACGACAAGGATAAATGCTGACAGAGATAGAAATACATAAATAACAGGTACAGCAAGACAGACAGCTGAGGACAGAGATAAATAAGTGATTGCAAGATATATACGGAGAGATGCAAGATAAATACATTAGAAGCAGATAAATAAATGATGGATTAGATAAAGAAAAAGATATAGACATAGCTAGATATAGAAAAGGGGGGAGAGACAGAATGAGAAGGAAAGAGAAATAAATAAATAGGAAGGAAGGAAGGAAGGAAGGAAGGAAGGAAGGAAGGAAGGAAGGAAGGAAGGAAGGAAGGAAGGGGGAAAGGAAGGGGGAAAGGAAGGAGAGAAGGAAGGGGGAAAGGAAGGGGGAAAGGAAGGAAGGAAGCAAGGAAGGAAGGAAGGAAGGAAGGAAGGAAGGAAGGAAGGAAAAAGAGAAGGAGAGAAGGAAGGAGAGAAGGGAGGAAGGGAGGAAGGGAGGGAGGAAGGAAGGGAGGAAGGAAGGAAGGAAGGAAGGAAGGAAGGAAGGAAGGAAGGAAGGAAGAGCAATAAAGAGAGTAATACATGGAAAGATAAAAAAAGAATTTCTCATGATGAGAACTGCACACACAGTATGTACTGTCCTTGGCTAGGGGAGATCCTGGTTTGGAAGATGTGAATTATATGCAAATGCCAAGCGAGCTGGTATTTCTCTTGCTTGGGAGAAGTCTGGGAAGGTAAATAAAAACCTAAATATCTATCTACCAAAGGGAAAAATAATAATAACAATACAAAATCTCAGCCAAATGCTCAGGCATGCCAAGAGCAGGAGAGGACAAAACCTGCAGAGACAAACAGACAGCAAAGGAGACTTCAGAAGATGCAGACACCCCTGTGGGCATGGGGAGAAAGGGATTTATTGGAGAAAGGGACAGTCTGCCCATGCAGATCTTCAGAATGTGTGTGGCTGAACACACAGGAGAGAAGTGCAGGCAAAGGAGGAGAGACCTGACCCAACTCCGTATATACAGGCAGCTTACAACTGCACCAGAAGTGTGCATGGGGCCAGTGGGAATGTTGGGAAGGCTCTCCTGGTTCCTGACCTCAAAAACACCTACTGAGCACAGAGCTACCTGAGGCTGGCCCTGATCAGTAGGTGTTAAAGCAAAAAAGGATCACAGCTGGAAGAGATGCAGCCCATCTCTTCCTTGATTCTCTTCTCTGCCACTGTGCTACAAGGACCATGGGTAAGAAGTCGTACTTCAGAGCTAAGTTTTTGTCTTAGCTAGATGGTCAAGAGATCTGTGGGGGAATAGGACAAGCAAAGTATAGGGGAAAATTAGGGGAACTGCTTTCTTTCAGGCAGGATTGAGAGTAAGGGCAGCCCACACATGCACATGCAAGCCACTATGACACATACAAATCAAGTAGAAAGGAAAAAAAATATGGCCTAGTTCAATCCCCAAACCAGGTCACTTGTCGATTCTCACCTGTGATGTGCTCACCTGATCTACAAGCCATATCCACATCCTTCTCAAAATCGGTCTGAAAGACAGAGAACACAGAAGATGTGGTCAAAAGGAGGTGGTGGGGAAAAGAAAAGCATCTGGAAAATGCAAAAAGTGCTTTAATTCAAGAATCAGACATAATCAGTGCTGGAAGAGTGGAGAAGAGACAGTTTGCTTAGTCTTTGAAATAAATCAAACAGAGCGTTATTTTTTCCAAATGTGGCTCTCAGAACTTAGATAAGCCTTTTTATTGCTTATTTATTAGTAATTTTTTTGGAACATAAAATGAATTTGATGGGAATCAAAGATAAGTAACATCAGACCAATATTGAAGTGGGCACACAGAAAAATGTTATCACATTTTGATGACAAAGCTTCAGGAAAAAATGTAACTGAACAACCTGCACTAGCTCAAGCCATAAGAAAATAAAGAAAAAGTATATATTTAATACCTGTCAACAAGATTTTGTGGAAAACCATTTACTCAGCTAAGCTTTTTTTAATACACTGAGAAGATTTTGAGATCAGCGGAAAAGGTAATGGTAAAAATGCTGTCCTGCAAAGACTTGGATTTCTTGAAGGCCAGATGCTCCTCAAGAAGTCTTACAGGTGCAGGAGAAAGCTATACCTGTGTGCTATAAGATGAGCCAAAAGGGAAGAAGACTGATGTGGTTGAGAAAGGTAACTTTTCTGAGCCTCTGAGAGAAAAAGAAGGTCTACCTCCTGTGAAAGAAGGGATGGGCAACTTGGGGAGAGTACAGAGAGGTTGTTAGAATATGCAGGGAGAAAATTAAAAAAGTAAAAGCCCAGCTTGAACTCAACCTGGCCATTTTAGTAAAAGACAACATTTTTTTACAAACATACCAACAGTAACAGGAGGGCTAAGGGAGAATCTTCATCCTTTACTGGATGTGGTGGAAAATGTGATCACTGAGGACAATGAAAAGGCTGAAGTTCTCAATGCCTTCTTTACATCTGTCATTAATAGTCAGACCAGTTGACCTCAGGGTACTCTATCCCCTGACCTGGAAGTCTGGGACAGGGAGCAGAATAAACCCCCCATGACTTAGGTGGAGGCAGTTAGAGACCTACTCCATCTAGACTCTCACAAGTCCATGGTACCAGATGGAATTCACACAAGGGTGCTGAGGGAGTTGGTGGAGATGATTGTTAAGCCATTTTCCACCATTTATCAGCAGGGAAATGATTGTTCCCTGTACTCAGATCTGGTGAGGCCACACCTCATGTACAATGTTCAGTTTTGGACCTCTCACTGTAAGAAAGGCATCGAGGTTGTGGAGCATGTTCAGAGAAGGGCAACAAAGCTGTTGAGATGACAGGAGCACAAGTCTTATGAGGTGCAGCTGAGGGAACTGGGATTATTTACTCTGGAGAAGTGGAGGCTCAGGGAAGACTTTATTACCCTCTGCAACTCTCTGAAAGGAGGTTGTGGTGAGATAGGAGTCAGTCTCTTCTCCTGGGTAACAGTGATAGAATGAGAGGAAATGGCCTCAAGGTGCATTAGTTTGGATATTAGGAAAAAAACCTACTTCTCTGAAAGAATGGTTAGGCACTGGAACAGGCTGCCCAGGGTGGTGGTTGAGCCACTGTCCTGGAATTATTCAAGAAACATGGAGATGAGATACTAAGGAACATGGCAGTATTGGAGATTGGTGGATGGTAGGACTTTTCCAACCGTAATGATTCTGTGATTCTATGATTCTTTGGTTACAGCACAATTCAGTCACTGTAAAATAACAGTGTACCCCTCTAAAATATCAGTAGTGAGCCATCATTCATGTCTGGATTTGGGAGTTCTTTGTGCTTGGATATGAAGAAAGTGACTGTAAGCTTGCTACTTCTCAATGCGTCAAACAATAGTACAGAAGTAACAAAAGCTAAAAACTTGTCGAATTTTGCAAGGTGGCTGATAAATGAAAGCAGAGAATTGTATACAGGGACAAAAATCTGACACTTCAGAGTATAGTTCTTGGGATGGTAACAATAGAATTACAAATTCAGTGTCCACAATTTGAAATGATACTGAGTTTGAAGGGCATATAGCAAAGTATAGAAATAATTTGATGTCTTACAGAAGGAGAATAAAATAACTCAGTGTGTTAATTTATTGAAGGATATTACTGTCTGTTATTGAAGGAGAAAATGTATGAGGCACACAAGGGACTTCATAACTACACATTAAAAGGCATAGCAAGAAGTCTGAAAACCTGAAGACTATGCATTTATATAAGAAAAAATGCAGGTGTTTTAACAAACATTTATGATATGTGATAAGATACTAAATGCCTTGATGTTTTGACCTAAAGATTGTGCTTTTGAAAGTAGACCTCATAATCAAGCACAAGTTGTACGATTTAGTTGAGGACAGCAATGACTGCCAGAAATTCATGAGGTTGTGATATAGGTCTAATACTAACAGGATGTTTTGTTCACATCCTGAAAGTGATTGTCCAGATGTTGTTACTCCAATTTCAGAAATCAAATGTTTCTTGTAGAATCTACATCATAACACCAGAGCAGATGTAAGATGATTCCTCACAGTTTATTATCCTACTGTCTTATCTAGATTGTTTGTAAAGGATTTACACAAAAGGATTGAGGTTTACAGTGCTTAAGCTATATTCCCAGTGAAGCAATGTAAACAAATATGCTTGAAACAGCATCTTTATAATAATGACTATGATCCAAAATGCTGTGATTAAATCAATTAAACTGCTCCAGCTAGAATGAGGCAGTATGATAGAGATGAAAAGATCTGGGAGACTGAAGAGGTATATTTTGCCTTTGTGTTTTCTGGAAAAAGAATGATCTCGCCAAAATGGATGCAAAACTTCATGTGTAAGTTCTAGCCCCTGAATGTTATTATGAAAAGAAATAGGACTTCTATGAAAGAGTCTGTGCTATTTTTGTTCAAGTGCAGGTTTGAAGGAAAAAAGAGTGTTTATTGCAAAATGTATGGTGGACAGAGCCCTTTGTTTATCAGTTAAGTGTTAAAAATGCCCATAGGTCTCTTAATAATAGACTAGATAGTAGTTTTCCCTACCATTAGTTGAGCGTGTCCGTTCTGAAATGAGCCCCCAGAGTCTCCATTGCCCTCTTCCTGGCGGTCTACTACTCGGCACTTCACAGCATCCTGAACCTGCAGGAAAGAGCAAATGGATTTGCATGAGTCAGAATCAGACAGAAGTACCAAAACAAATCAAATTCTTTTGACAGCAACAACAACAAATGTAGCTTTGGTAGTTCACGCTACTTTTATGATGGATGCTATTACATAAATCATTCTATTTGTGTCTGCAATGTCTGATTACGATCCTATATCAGCTGAAATATATATCTGATCCAAAGCTCACTGAAATGAACGAAGAAGAAAAAAATGCAAGTGACTAAAATGGGAGTAAGATGCAGGCTCATATTCATAATGCAATTAGTTGAAGCAACCTCAGCCAAGTTGGTAGTGTAATTCCATTGATTTCACTGGTCTGACATAAAGAATTAATCTGTTTTACTTAATTTAAAGGAACTGTAAGAAGATAAAATGAATACTGAGAAAAAAAAAAAAAAAAGGCTCCCTGTCTCTGTTATTCATAAAAAATTATTCCTTTTCTTCCCTGTTATACTTTACCATTTTAAGTCTCCACAGGGAGGCCGGAGAAAATTTACTCAATTTCCTCACTTGTTTATTGCTCACATTACTTTCTCGCTTAAATATCTAGGTGCTATTGCCAACATATAAACATTCTGTTAACCTTGGTGCAAGTTGCTCTTCTCAAAATCAAATAAGAAAATTTGATTTCCTTAAGATTCCATATTTGGAGGCGTGTAAACATTCTGGAAACATTAATGTTTAACAAGCCAAAACTGATATCTCAGTTGGGTGAAATGGTAGATTAAGAATGTCCTCCAAATTGCATTCCACTCAGCATGGCAACCACTGATTCATTCTTGCTTGCATTCCATCTTTTGACTGATAACAGCATGGTCATTTCTTTGGTCACTGCCTACAAGAATGCAGAAGCTCGTAGGATTAGAAAAGTTACCAGGCTGATTAGCCTTTTTTAGATATTTTCTATTGTAAGTATGCTGGTTATATAAAAGAGAACATGTCATTCTGCTCACCTCCCTCCTAAGGATACAATGGACCATCACAATGACAAAACCTTCCAATGAGTCGAAGACGGCAAAAAGGATCTGGAAGAGCGCTGACCGCCGATCTGTGATTGCCAGAACTGCAGACATCCAGGTAAGAGCCAGGAGGGGCAGGACCACACAGGAGCTCCAAAGAGATGCCCTGTTAAGGGAGAGGAAAAGAGAATTCAGCCTCACTTCAGCCCCACTTGCTCCCATGTGGGATGCTAATTCAGCCTCCTGATCCCATGGGGCTTCAGAAGACTTGTCCAGCAAATGCATACTTGTGCTAGATGTCTTCTGAGCCCCAGGCACAGGGAAGCAGGAAGATGCTTTGCACACTCACGCTACCAAAACAGGTGACACACATTTCCATGGGAGGGACTACTAGCCAATGGTGCAGTCATGCATAAAACTTGAGGTGGGGAGGAAGGATGCAGATACCTCACTCCTCCCCTCATGCCCTTCCCACTCTGTCACTAGACCACAATGATGACATTTCCCAAGGAGAGGAGACAAAATACAGTCACTGTAGGTTGCCAGGGGGAAGGGGAACAGTTGCAGCAGAGGCTGGTTTGTCACGATGGCTGTCAGTACTCAGGCTACAGACACTTGGACTTCCACAGCACATGGAAGACACCAACAAGTGGGGACGTGTCACAGTTTCAAGTAACTAAAACAGACAAGCATTGAGCTGATGTGAAGAATGGCATTTTGCTGTTACTCCCTTTCTCTGTAGCTGATGGTCCCTACAATTCTACATCTGTGAGCATCAGGAAATGTAACTCAGATAACTCTGAATTGGAATTTTTTAGTTTTCTTGTGTGATCTCCTTATCTGAAGGCACTGAAAAAAACTGCAGTTGCTTCTACCTTTAGCAAGGGTTGGAAACAATAGTTCTTGGGGGGAAATACTGGGTTAAAATCCTTTGAGATTTTGCAATTGTTAATTTACAAGAGAGAAAACTTTCTGCAAGGTTAGTACTGCCATGTGAGCATCCACCTTTTTTTATGACTAATGGCTTTACAAATGAGAAAGCAGCTTTGTTTCCATGGACAATTCAGCCACTCAACTATCTCACCAAAATAACTTTAACAGCAAGTTATGGAGATTTTAGGCCACCTATTGTCCTACATATGTGGTGCACCAAGAGTATCAGGAGAATTTCTTTGTGGTCTTATACCAAAAAAAAAAACAGAAGTCGACCTATGCACCAAGCAAATAACAAGTTGAGTTTCAGGATTTCCTGAGTAGAAAACCTCAGCCTATTTACTAACAAATATATACAGGCAACACAATAAATTACAGGACATGTATTGTGACACACAGTTTACAGTAGGTACATGGAGCTTGCTTACCATTTTCTGATATGTGATCAAGGTTTTAATGTTTACTTGCTGGTTATCCAGATATCACTCTCGTGAACCTCAGTGAGAGTTCTACCTGAACAAAGCTGGAGCTTGGACACGGGTATGAGCATCAGGACATAATGTCATGGCTTCAGTTACAGGGTTTTTCAAGGACTGTTACATCTGTTCTGCTGTAATTACCACATACTGGAGTGACGGGTTATTTTTGTAATCATAATGATGCTTTGATTGCAAATATTTCTACAAACTGTTCAGGTTCAGATGTGCTCCTTTTAATCAATGTGATTTCCCTACAGGAGCAATTAAATGGCATAGACTGTTTTCTACTAAACTAAGCATTATGAGGCTTCCTTGTAAGATAAGGGCCGTGATATAATGTAGGTATAATTTTATATAGGATAAACTAAACTTTAATGTCTGATAGGAACTATAATTTTAATGCATTATTAAAAAAAAAGGAACCACCAGCCAAAGACAGCTCTCAACCAAACAACTGCCAAGCAGATGATTTAATTCCACTTCTCTCCTAGCCCACTGAAATGTGTCTCATTATACTGAAGTAACTGAAATCTCTCATTGCTTTCATTTGCAACGGTGCATTAATAAAATTGGCAAAGCAGTAAGCGCAGTAAAAATCAAAGGCGCAGAAAAGCTAAATGAAAAGATGAGGTTTGCTCCAGAACAGCCACTCTAGATGTGACTTCAATGCACCTGCCAACCATATCTGAGAGTGGATTTGATCCCTATGTATGTGCCTGAACCAGAGATCTATATTCGCACGGGGTTTCCCATTCTTTGAAAGAAAAGCCACATCAGGTTGATAACGATATGGATCTGGATTCAAGATGCTACCCACAACATGGATGCTATTATTTCTTAACTATGAAGGGAACCCTTTAAAGCTCCTGCTGTTTTTACGCTGGACTCAATGAGTCTTTCCCAGCCCTACATCCTGGGTTCTGCATTGAGGTGGATTTCATCATTGCTTCCAACATAAGCAACCTTAATACCAGCACTGCCCTCTTCACACTTCCAACTCAGATGATGGCAACAATATTATGCCAGATATTCAGTTGGTGTAAATCAGAATTTTTTCAACTGAGTCAGCTTCTGTCTTACATCACCTAAGATTACAGTCTGACTTTCTGTCTTCTTTGTGATTCATCTTGCAGATACCTTCTTAACAATATTCTTCCCTTACAAAAGTTAGCGAAATGTTCCTTGACATTTAAGGCATAAACTTTATTCTCAGGCAACAGATGGCAATGGGTCATAGCACTATAACTTACTCTAATTTAACTTTCAGAGCTTGGCTTAGATTTTGAAATATTAAATTAAAAAATAATAATAATAATATAAGGTTCCATTAAAAATATCATATCAGGATTGAAATTTCTAAAGAAAACTCGGGGAAAGATAAATGGGTTTCTTGTGATTTGTACTTAATTCTACTTCTGCGAGCTGAATACATAGCAGAACTCATACTTCTGCCACTTTTCTGTCTGCCTCTTTGTAGGAGGCATCCTTAGAAAGTACCATAAAAATTTACAGGACCTAAGAAGCATCATGTTATGGTGCCACATGCTGTGTGATGAAGTGATGATTTATTATGTAACAACACTCTGATTACTTAACAGCTCTTCATTATGGGTTATCTATGATCAATTAATCCAAGATTTTTATTGCCTGAGACAAAGGGCCAGTCCCTTTAGCTGGCAGATGAAGAAGACACTTATCCTACTGATTTAATCCTGATTTATTGACTACATACATGACAGCACTAATTGTGAGTGACAAATATCAAGGGGATATCATTACATTGCACTGTGGAAGCATAATGCTGGCTTATTGCCTGATGACCACCATATGACAACGTTACTCAGCAGCACTGCTGTAAGATCACATTTCTCTGCCCCATCACGCTGTGTTACTGCTGCATTGCAGAGAAAGTGCATTATTATGGGATATGGTCATGTCACTGCACATTGTAACCAAGTATATTTACAAGGCTATGTAACAACATGGCCACGCATTGAAGTTTTCCACAGCTTTATCTAGCAAAGACTTAACCTCTAAACCCAGCTCTGGCAGAGAGCTGGTGATAGCCACTGGTCAGTATATCAAAAACTAGATGTGGTTTTGTTCTTTATCTAACTGGCATCCTTAGGAGACTTCATCTTTGCGATAAATAAGTAAAAAAATAGATAAATAGCAGGATATACTGATGGGAGTTAGAATAGCAATGGAAAGAGCAAAAAAAGGGCTTTTGGAAATAAAGATCTACATGAAAATCTAAAGGCCTGTGCCCTGACAATGGACAAATGCAATGGAGCACAATGCATGTTAACAATGATATAAAACGCCATTATGAAAATGTAAACGATCAATTCTTCTCATTACTCAAGGCTGACAGGACAGCCAGTACACCAAGTTTAAGAAAGAGAAGAAGGAAAAAGAACTTTGTAAAGAAATAACTTTCAGAAAGCAGATCCTGGAGATCCGCTGGAGAAGTTTCCAAGCAACTTCTTTTAACTCAATGTGTGTAGAACTAAGACAGGAAATCTGCAACTTACAAAGAGAGTCCCCATGCTGTTACCATGTATGGGGAGTACAAAAACACAAGACATTATTTCTGTTTTCTCCAGAAGATGATTCTTCTATCAGTTACTGCTATCTTCACAATATGACTAAGAATACAGGAGATCAAATGCCTGTGAATTAGGCAGATAGGAAATGAAGTAACTATGGGCACACTTCTTGATTATTCATCCTTAATAAGGAAAATAGTTCTTTGACAGTCCAAGAACCCATAGGGCCTGAGTATTGTCCACAGGTTAAGGATTCAATTTTGAATTCATTTAACTATGCAAACAACGCTGTTCCTGATGAACAGCTTCCTTCATAAAACCAGCCATGTACAAAAATATTGATTCACATGGAAGTGGTTCACTAGAATCACAATACTGGAAAAAATATATATATGCATATATCAGTGTCCAAGACTTCTGGAAATGGCTTTGAGCCAAGAAAAAATGTAAACCCCTTAGATGGGAGATTTGATACAATCAGATGGTGCAAGATGGATGATGCACAAAGTTATGAGGGCTCCATGATTTTGACAGACCCTTGCATGGGCTGCCTGAAAGACAAATATGCTGTGCCAAGGCCATAGACTCGAACCAATCTCTTCCCTATATTCAAAATTTGAGTTTCTATATTTGCAATGCACTGTTTGGCAAAAATTCTATCCTTCCTTCCTTCCTGCCTTCCTGCCTGCCTGCCTTCCTTCTTTCCTTCCTTCCTTCCTTCCTTCCTTCCTTCCTTCCTTCCTTCCTTCCTTCCTTCCTTCCTTCTTCCTCCTTCCTTCCTCCCTTCCTTCCAATAGCAATTCCTGGTATCTTCAGGGACCATCCACTTTCAGAGCAAATAGAAAGAAATCATATGTCCTTGAAGTGCTCCTGTCTGAGTAGCAAAGATAAATGAGTTATAAAGCAGTATTTCACAGGCTGAAGTAACAATTAAAAGAAAGATGGGAACAGAGGTCTTCCAGTGGCAGTGTACAGCCTGGTTATTATTCAAAGAAGTCAGTAAGGAAGGCTTTATTTTAACCCACAAATGTCAAGCCTGGCTTATGTTTACAGATCACAGACATCCACAATTTTCCTTTTATCATTTCCCTAGGTAAGAAATTGCATGATTTCCAATGGATATTTTTTCTCTTCTGTCATGATTGCTACCAGCTCTACCACCAGGGCATACCATGTTTTCACTTGGTTACAGATTCTTT